CTCTTCTGCTCTCCATCTGTATGGAGAGCAAACCTGAATTGTTCTTGAGGGCCTCTGATAACTTAGGTTGTCTTGCTGGTAATTTTACTGGTAATTTTTGATGGGGATCACTCCGTGGAGACTGGCCCATGGATGGCAATTGGCCAATTAATTGTGACCCTGATATTGCTGGTTGTTGCGTTGCTGTTCAAAGTTACCACTGTAGTATTGTGTGTGCTTATATGTGTGTGAGACCTTACCATGGGCAGTTTATGTGTTACGTATTTATGTTGTATCATGATTGATTCGATGGTTGGTTGTAATGTGCTATCAGGAAGGAAGGAAGGAAGGAAGGAGGGAGGGAGGGAGGGAGGGAAGGAAGGAAGGAAGGAAGGAAAAGTATAGAAGGAAGAAAAAGATGTATACTTTGATGGGGCCACGGCCTCTGTCTTGGCTTGTCTTGCCATATGCTGTGAAGAAGGAAGGAAGGAAGGAAGGAAGGAAGGAAGGAAGGAAGGAAGGAAGGAAGGAAGGAAGGAAGGAAAAGAAATATAGGAAGTATAGAAGGAAGGAAAAGAAGTATAGAAGGAAGAAAAAGAATTATACTTTGATGGGGCCACAGCCTCTGGCTTGGCTTGGCTTGCCATATGCGGTGAAGAAGGAAGGAAGGAAGGGAGGGAGGGAGGGAGGGAGGGAGGAAGGAAGGAAGGAAGGAAGGAAGGAAGGAAAAAAGTATAGAAGGAAGAAAAAGAAGTATAGAAGGAAGGAAAAGAAGTAAGGGAGGATGGAAGGAAGGAAAAGAAGGAAAGAAAGTGGGAAGGAAGAGGAAGGAAGGAAGGAGAATGAAAGAACAAAAGAACAAAAGGAGGGAGGGGAGAAAAGAAGAAAGGAAGGAGAGGGGAGGNAAGGAGGGAGGGAGGACAGATGGACCTCAAGATGTACCCATAACCGGAGCTCCAACAATTGGTCAGAGAATGCTACTATTATACTCTGCTTTGGGACTGCCCTATGGCTTGGACTTGATGTCAAAGAATCCACCCAGCTGGGTCACTTCCAAAGCCAACGGGCTGCTTTCTTTATAGTGCCTGAAGCATTCTCACTCTTAACCTCCCCTAGCCCACCAGTTCAGAGACTGGGAAGGCAGTGCAGGTGGAGTGAACGCCAGTCCAGGGGGTGCCTGCCTGTATTCCTGGGCTAATGGTGCCAACCAGCTGAGCTTTGCAAAGCAGTGGTCAGTTAGTTTCCCCCCAAATTTGCCACAACAGAAACAAGAGAAAGGGGGTTTGGATGTAGCTGCCAGTAAAAGGAACCTAATCTTTAAAAATGCTTCATCTACAGAGCCAATTCAGATACGGCAGAGTGAGAGAAACCAAGCTTTTCCTCTGGTTATTTACTGATGAAATGAATACCCTTCTAAAGAGGAGTAGCCCGAACTAGATGACACGATAGAAGGAGCAGGAGAACAGGAACAGCCTTTAATGAAAACATGCGAGCTAAAATATACAGTCTGTCAAATCTGCATAAAACAACAGATTGCAATTAAACATGAAAGGAAAACCTTCCACAGACCTTCTGGGAGTGAATTCATCTACGGTGACCAGGTTCATAGTTCACGCTAAAACCAGGGTATTAACCATAGCTTGATCCAGCCACAGTGGTTGCATTCTGTGTGAATCGCACTGAATTCCACTGCGCTGAAACCGATTATTGTGACGCCTTGTGGCCTCCTGCCCCTCTTTTTATTTCCACCTTAATAGCTCTCATTTCTGACAAGGAGATCACAAGCTCCAGTCACAACTTTGGAGGCTCAAGCAGCAGAGAGAAATATTCCAAAATATCAGCAAGACGTGCAGGACACGGTTTAATAGATGGCAAATTTCTGCACTCTTACTGAGCCTCACAGCAGTCCTGCTCGATGTGCCGGGCCTCTGATGTCCCTTCTCAATCACGGCTCTATTATTTATTATTAACAGAAATTTGCCGTACGACAGAGTTGTCTAATTACTTTCACCTTTCCTTTTTAACAACAAAGGGCCTGCTTCACCACAATATTTTTGTTTCCTTGAGCTAATTGCAGCAGCCTGCCTCGGTTCAGAAGGCAAAGGGCTTGAAAGAGTTTATTTCCCAGAAATGAAGACTTAGGCAAAGTGTAGCTTTATTGTAGCAAAACTACAAAACCATTATGGAGGAATGCCGGGGTATCCAATGCGGGGGCCGTTTATAATCATCATTGTGGGACTATCTTCTCCTCCAGGCTCTGTGCAAAGAACTCGGAGTGACTTTTTCCTTTGGGAAGGAAGATACAGTTCCTGTCTGTTCCTTGTTTTGGTAACTCTCTGATATCAGATTATGGTTTATTTTGTTATTGACCGAGATCTGGGCTTTGCAAAGCGAGGCTCTGAAAGGCTCAGCTAAAATGCCATTTTGCTATTCTACAGCATTACTGCAGGGCTTACTTGCTGCTCCGACCCTGTGGAACGATCTCCCCACAGAGATCCGGACCCTTCACACTCTCTCAGCCTTCCGGAAAGCCCCACTAAAACCTGGCTGTTCCGGCAGGCCTGGGGCTGTTGACCCTAAAATACAGTCCAGCCCCATTTAGAACGGAGTATATGGTGTGTTGTTTTTTAAATCTATCTTTTCTCTTTCCCTGTATTTTATTTTTGATTTTATTTCGGTATTGTAAGCCGCCTGGAGTCTACAGGATTGGGCGGCATATAAATATTATTAAACTTTAAACTTTACTCAGGACAGTCAACTCACAGATTACCCCCATGGCTTTTTAACCGTAAAAATGAAGAGCCGCTTCATTTCATGTAGCGATGGGGAGCTGTTAAACTGTACCACAACCCTCCAGATACCCACAGTGACATAAGACAGATGAAAAAGAAACAATAGAATGACAATTCTGACAATTATCACAAATGGCCTAATTGAACTATCTTCTTTTTCACCCCCCTCCTCTGACTCTTAACTTTTTATCCTTTTGAATATGGAGCTCATTTTCAAAGGGATACGGCAGAGTCCCTGCCATCTGCTGCCCCTAATTTTTTTAGGGTGGTGAGGACAGGAAAATACGGAAGGGCATGTGTTCCATTTTAGTTCTACATTATTTTGAGAGTCCTAATCTAAATCATTGAATCTCCCACGAAGCCCTACAAAACAGCAACATGCGGTAAAATAATCTTACGATCAAGACCCATTTTCTCCACTTCCCCTGTACGTTTTAGCTTAAAAAGTCCCTGATGCTTCCCATCTCCTTTTCTCTGCACAAACCAGCAAATCCATCACTTCCCAGCAGCCAGAGGTCAGCGCAAGACAAGAGAGAGGTACAGGCATTATTTAAAGAGAGGGAGGGAGGGAGGGAGGGAGAGGTGGGAGAGATATGATTTTCACAAATCTGTTAGCAATAGACCAAGGCTGCAGTCCGTCACGTTGGAGAGAAATTAATCAGTGCTATTTAACGTCGATTCCTCCCGCAGCTTTTGACTGCCAAATCGAAAAAGAAACAAGAAGGGCCACGAGTCGAGAAGGCGAAGGCAACAGCGTAACACCAACACTCGCAGTCATTACCGGAGATCTGTTTCCTCTGCCCGCAAGACTAGAGATGGGAAGATTAAGACCTAAATGTGATATGACAAACCCAGCCTAAAGCAACGTGTCAGAGACGATATCGCACAAAATCATTTTTGTGGGACTTGACAATCACCCAACCTTCTCACCAGCCAGCTCCCATTTCAACTGGTTTGATGCTCTCCGGGGTGTTCAACCACCTAGCCAACTTAACTGGCACCCGGTGCCCATTCCTTTCAGGCAGGGACAATGCTCTGGGAAGCTGCTGTCCATGATGGATTCCATAGGTGAGCGCTTTGGAGGAGATTTCTGTGCCTCTCGACTGGGCTTCTCCACAACCCCAGAGCTCAGCCTTGAGTGTCTCTATCGCAGGCAGGCTCCAAGCTCCCCGCCATCATTGGGGAGCAGCCTCGGGGTGCCGAAGCTGTTGTCCTAAATGTTCAGGACCCCCCGCTTTCCCAAAGGAAGCCAGCCCCGGTTTCCCTACAGAGGAAGACCTGCACATCTAGCCATGGTTTAAGGAAGGGAAGTTCGTGCCAAATCCGTTCCATGCCACGGAAGCCATTTAACAACTCTATTAGCCCAATTAAACGGCGCTTCTCGAGCCAGGGGAACTCGGGGGGTCGCGTAAAGTGAGAACTGCGGAGGAATCGGGCTGGCAAACTCCAAGGCGGCCAAAGCCGGGGGCCAATCAAGCCTCTCCCGGAGCTCATGAAACCAACACGCAACTTCTCTCCCCGGCTGGACTCTCGGGATCATCTTTTGCAGCACCGTAAACAACAACAACACCCAACGCTCCCCGCCCAGAGGGCCATTGCTCAACCCCCGCGGACTCCACCAGCAAGAGGAGCAGAGCGGACTGGAAACTTGGCAGTGCTATTTGGGGGGGGGGGCGAGGGGGGGGCTTGAAGTATTAAGCAGCGAGGCGTTACTTGAGGCTTTGCCCACGTTGCCCTGCAAAGGGGGAGACTCGGGGCTCTTAAGGCGCAGAAAGACCCCCCCCAAAGCCCCGCGCCCCAATTCTCCAAGACGGCTCCGGTTTTCCCCGCAGCCCAACGGGGTCCCGGACTCGCCCCGCTCCGGAAGGGGAGTTGGCGCGGGGAAGAAGCCCGGACGCCCTTCCGAGCGGGGCTGCCGGAGCCCCAACACGCGTGGCTCTCCCCGCGGAGGGGCAAAGTCTGGCTGCCGTCCAGGCACCGACCGCGGCTCCTCCTCCTCCCGGGAGACCCTCCCGCCCCGGGACCCCTAAGGCCGGGTCGGCACCCTCGCCCGCAACGCCCCGCCGAAGCGGCGTCCGGGGCTCCGCCGCCCGCTCTGCCCTGAGCCCGGGGAGCCGGGCCGGCGCTGCGGCCAAGCGGGCTGGGACCGAGCCGCTGCCGCCCCTGCTCAGCTCCCCCCCAACGCAGGCAGGCCGGGCATGGCGAGGGGAGTCCGGGGGTGGCGCTCACCTTTCATCGCGGCGCTGACCAAGCACATCATTCGGCGGGGCTGCGGCGGCTCCGGCTTCTCCGCGGCAGGCGCCCGCCAGGCAGCGCGACCGGCCCTGGCAGCGGCGGAGGCAACGGCAGCCTCCGCCTCCTGCGCGCCGCGGCCCAGCTGAGGCGCCATGTGACCGCCCGGAGCCCCGCCGGGCCGCCCCTCGCTCGCCTCGCCCCGCCGCCGCCGCCGCCGCTCCGCCTCCCCTCCCTCCCTCCCTCCCTCCGCAGCAGAGGCGGGAGGGGCGCGGGGGCTGCTGCGCTGCTGCGCCAGGCCGGGCGAGGGGGCAGAGGGGGAGGGCTGCCCATGCCCCCTCCCTTGGGACCCCGCAGCAGGGCAAACTGGGAGGGAGGGGCTCCGGGACCCCTGCTTCCTTCCCCTCCCTTTTTGGCCATTTCGGGTCAAACACACACACAGAAAGAGAGAGAGAGAGAGAGAGAGAGCAGTGGCCAGGTGGATCCTGCCGGAGTCAAGGTGCACCTGGGGTGGGTGGCCCCCACATACTTTGCCCTAACAAAGGCCAAGCACTGGAGTCCCCATGGCTTATGGCCAGGCTTCACATGACCCCCCTGGTGGCATCCCCCCCCCACAGTCCCACCATCCACATTGCGTTAAGGGCAGCTGCAGCCCCCTGGGGCCTCCTGACTGCCCTCTGCAACCTCCCCAGCTGGCTTTCAACAAGTAAAGCCAATGGGGGGAAACCAGATTTGTTTAACAACCTTGGCAGAAAAAAAAGGCCATAAAATTGGACGTGGCTCACTTAACGTCCACACCACGTATCAACTGAAGAAAGAGAAAAAGATGAAAATGAGCCTTGCATTCTCCATGTCTTGTGGGGGGGGGACAACCTCCAGATTATCGACTGAGTCTCGTCTGGTGGCGCAGACCAAGAGACCCCCCCCCATGGAACCCCCCCCCCCCCCCCGCCGCTGATCAGGAGCAGCCCTCCAGTTTTTGGAACAGAAGAAGGGAAGGCAGACACACACATACACACACACCCCCAAACCTGCTGTGCCCAGCTCGGCCTGTTCACACAATTCGTGGCTGTTGTGTTTGGGTACAATTTTGACAGACAAAAGCAATAATTAGGACTTTGGGACTTGAACGAACTGTGGATCATGTCGCTGGAGAGAAATGGCCTTTTCTGCTGGGCCGGGGTTTACCGAATGGAGCAGAAATGAAAAGCGGCAGCAGGAGGGAGCAGGGGGGTTGGGGGGTGGGCAGGAAACCCACCAAACTGAATTCCGCCGCATTTTGTCTGCCTCAGCAAAACAGAGTTTCTTCGCTCCCTTCTTTCTAGATGGGGAAAAAAGGCAGGAGATCAAAGCTTTCAACGGGATTGCTAGAAGCCAGAATTGTATACAAACAGTGTGTGTTAAAATATGCCTGGGAGACAGCTGGCTTTGGAAGGGGTGGGGGTAGCACGGAGGGAGGGGCTGCAGATCTACAAGAAGGCTCCTTCTGGACTACAAGCTCCATGCGGCTATTCTTCCCAGGCACCCTGGTTCTGGCAGATGCACCAAGTCCCAGGCGGTCAGTCTGACAATCCCTCACACCCAATCTGCCCCCCCCCTTGGAAAAGAGAGAGGAGGGAGGGCCAAGAGCATGTCAAAAGTGCTTCCAAGATCTTCGGTTACAGCCTGGAGTCACGCCACGGGGATCAGAACCAGCCACAAGGATGTCACAATATCCACAAAGCCGCTTCTCCCCTCTAATTGATGGCCAATGTTCTTTGTCAATCTCCAGATGCAAAAGAGGTTTTGCCTTCTTGGTGTGGAATATTCACAGAAGAGGCCCCCGAATGTTCCTGAAGGTAGAAATTCATTCTCCGGACCCTCCGTGGCCAGAACCATTGATATCCCACATCCCTAGGCTGATTTGGTCTTAAGGCACCTTGCCAATGCGTAGGTGGGTTTCAAAGGACGGCAGCATTCAACCGCCATTAAGCAGAGACCCCTCGTCAGAGGAGGGGGGGCTTCCTGCTCTAAAACGGGCCCCTCCCTCTCTGCACATATCGTATCTTCCTTCGTGTTCATCGATCATTTCTCCCTTCTTGGAAAAGGAACTGGAGCATCGAGACAGGAAGGAAAGGCCGAGGCAAAGGGCGAAGCTAATTGTGGGAAACTCTTTAACACCTTTTCGTCTCCGTGGCCAATTCCTCCCCATTTTTCTTCCTTGTGCGCGTCGCATATCAAGTGTGCACAGGTGTGTGGGGGGGGGAGGGAGGGGTGTCAGCTTGTACAGCCTCTCCTAATAAGAGCGAAAGCCATTTGTTGCGTTTTAGATTGCGTTGACTTGGCACTCTGCGATGCTGCATACAAGACCCTGCAGGGAGATGGTCCTTGTCTTACGACAACAATTGGGTCTGGAATTTCTGTCACGAGGCGATGTGATGGTAAATGGGTCATGAGGTGGGTGAAATGAGGACCCAGACTGTGGGGGCGATATGCTGACTCTGTGAACCGCTTAGAGAGGGCTGAAAGCNGGTCACATGGGTGGCAAGCCACTCCCATCTGGTCACATGGGCAGCAAGCCACTCCCACAAAGGAGGCCACACCCACAGAGTAGGTTCGAACAATTCTTGAAACCCACCACTGCCTATGACTATCATGAAGTGTTGTACCTGATGATTCTTGACGAATGTATCTTGTCTTTTTATGTACACTGAGAGCATCTTCACCAAAGAGAAAATTCCCTGTGTGTGTCCAATCACACTTGGCCAATCAAGAATTCTATTTTTAAAAGAAGGGACAAAATGAAACGTGAATTCATCATTTTAAATGATTAAATTGAATGGCTGAATTGTCCCGGCGATTGTCCCGTGGTGAGTTGGCCACGGCGAATTGGGCCATTCCAAGCCAGAGAGCATATAAAATGCTGTCTTACACATTTTGTATTTTGCTTGAAACACTGTACTGAACCTTCTTCCCATCTCACACAATATAACCGCGTTATTTATTTATTTATTCCCCTGCTCCCCCAGGGCTCGTGATAGTGCACGATTAAAATAAAAAGTTATTGCAACAAATCGATAAGCCAACCTAATAAATAATAAAAAAACACTAATAAAATGACACTTCAGCAAGAGGAGGATTTAGAAAGAAATCAAGTGGAAGGGCATTTCCTCCTCTTCCGTTGATTACCAGGAAGGTCCTACTGAGACCTTTTGGGGGATGAAGGGGAAAAAAATAAGAATGTAGTTATTAACGCAGGCAACTGTACATCCATCATGATTCCATGGATGAAATTCCTGTGGGAAACAGAAATTAAAAGTGGTCCTGAAAATATAGTCTTTGGAAGGTGCTTTCTTACACTGCAATCCATGGTGGCGCAGTGGTTAGAAAGCAGGGTTGCAGGCGAATTCTGCTGACTGATAGCAGTTCGATTCTCCCTGGCTCAAGGTTGACTCAGCCTTCCATCCTTCCGAGGTGGGTAAAATGAGGACCCAGATTGTTGGAGGCAAATAGGCTGACTCCGTAAACTGCTTAGAGAGGGCTGCAAAGTACTGTAAGGCGGTATATAAGTCCTATTGCTATTTGCAAAGGCGAGACAGGTAAACTTCCAGGTGGCCTCAATGACCCTCTTAAAGGATGCAAATGACCAGCTGTCTGCAAAGAGTATAAATCCTTCCATTCCCCTCCATCCAGTCAGAGCTGAAGAAGTTTCTTGGATGAGATGTGAAACGCTGTGGCACGACAAAACCGCGCTCGTCAAAATAGCGGTNATGTGTTCCAGCATAATTCTGGAATGCCTCGAGCAATTTCAACCAACTTGGTACAGTGAGGACAATTTGCCTTCAGAAATCGTGGGAGCTTCCTCACTGGAGGTTTTTAAGAAGAGACTAGGCAGTCACTTGTCTGAGATGGTATAGGTTCTCCCGCTTGAACAGGAGGCTGGACTAGAAGACCTCCAAGGTCCTTTCCAGCTCTATTCCATTCTATTTCTAACAAGGAAATATGTCCAGTTGTCATGACTCAACCTTCAGAATAATGTGGCCATTGCACAGTTGAAATCAACTGGTTCTCCTCTCCAAATTCTCCACATTTGATGCTCAACAATCACTAAACATTTACTCGGTATTGAAAGCGTTGCCCCATTTTTGCCAACTGAGTTTCACATCCAGGAACCGTGGGAAGACCAAATGATCAAATACTAAACCCAGAAAGGAATTTGTGATAGTTGATCATTAATTTGGCAGAGGTTTAATAGCTGACATTTGAATCTGCTGAGAACTGCAAAGGGTGGTAAAATGATTTGCACAATTGTCAGAGGAGGAAAAAATCCTTCCCAGATCTCTGTTCTTAACAGCATTTCCTTTTATTATTACAGGTACAAAACAGCCTTCCCAAAAGTTAACTATAATGTAGTAATATTAAGAAGAGATTGGATAACCATTTGTCTGAAGTGGTGTAGGATTTCCTGCCTAAGCAGGGGTTGGACTGGAAGACCTCCAAGGTCCCTTCCAACTCTGTTATTCTACTCTAGTCCATTTCATTAATCCTTTTCATTCTTTCTTCAATTCAATTCTGTTCTGTTCTATTCTACTCTACTCTATATTCTCTTCTATTTTCTCTTATCTAATCTATTCTATTCTATTCCATTCCATTCCATTCCACTCTTCACGCTACTTTACTCTACTCTATATTCTCTTCTATATTCTCTTCTCTTCCATTCCATTCCATTATTCTTTTTCATTCTATTCTATTCTATTCTACTCTACTCTACTCTACTCTATTTTCTCTTCTCTTCTCTTCTCTCTTCCATACCTATTCCTATTCTATTCCATTATTCCTTTTCAGTCTAGCCTAGTCTAGTCTATTAACAATA